CCGCGAACCCCCACAACCACAACCCCACTCACTGACTGACACACACACACATCTCTAACGCTGCTGCTGCTACACGGCCCAGGCAGACAGCAGACGTACAGCCGTCCAGACAACACAAAGGGCTTGGGGCCACTATTGGAAGTCAACAACAACAACGGCGGCGGCGGCAATGAGCCCCGTGGTGTAGAGGAGCCACATGCCCCGTAGCAGCCGCGCCTGGGATATTTAAGTGCGCTCGCATTCCATGCCCATCTTGTTTGTATAACGCACATTTCCGCCCAATTCTCCTCGCTCGACACCGAGGCGATGATGATGATGGTCATGATGATGATGACGATGCTGCCTCTCTCGGCGCGCAGTCTGGGCCCCAATCCTCATTTTTGCTCTTAACACTCAAGAATAGCAACCAACCAAACACCGCAGTGAGAAGTCTCCTCCGGCACGTTATATCTCGCCTCGACACGAAATAAAAGCCATCACCGTTTGCCGGGTTGCTGCTCACGCACGGGGCTGCGGAGCAGAATAAGATTCTCCGGGAAGACGAGTTAATGAGGGATGCGAAACTACGGACAGACACACCGCACACGCGGCACGAACCAACGCGGGTCCACGTGTTGTCGATATCTCTCGCAACCATCACTGTCACTCTCGTCCGCCAATGACCGCCCGAATTAATACAATAGCCCTACTATCATCACGTATCATTTAAAATATATGTACGTTGCGTAAATCTGAACAATCTTTAAATCCGCGTGCACGAATTCGTATATTAATAATAATAAGTGATGTGATTGTGTGCCATTTTAAATGGCAATGTATTAAAGTAATATAAATATGACGCATGGTGCAACAACAAAAAATAATAACTGTCATCTTTCCGAGCATCGCTAAAATTTTAATTCGTGAATATCCATCTCGCTGGCGGGGGTGTTCCCCGTACCGCGTAAAGGTACGGGGCTACCACTCGCTTCGAACGAGGCCTATAATGTTATCTACCGTCCTCTGTATACATACAAAAAAAACCCCATGCGCATTCACGATGACAACGACGATGGGGGTGATGAATTATGACGGTGACCGTGGTACATCTGAAGAGGCGATAGCGCGAGAAGAGAAAATCGAGCATCCCACACTCACCGAGATAAGAGGCTTCGGCGACCGCGTTTGGCTCCGGCATTCGAGTTACACGCGGCGCGCACATTAGGCTGTGAAAACTTACTTTGGCCGTGTTAAACAGCAGGAATCGATAGATTGATTTTGGGATTCCGAAGCAGACTCGGGCAGCTCGCACTGTGAAAAGCACAGCTCGGCGCTGTGCTGGATGCTTTGCTTGCTGCTGCTGCTGCAGTGCCCAAACGACGTCACGCTATTAACGCGGACTTGAAACGCGTGTGTTGGGTCAATACGCAGCCTATTTAGCGCAATTGTGCTCACACCGATACTGTTGGCGCTATTCAAATGGCGAAGTCCATCACCTTGAGCCGACCTCCCCCCTCCCCCCCCAAAAAAAAATCACATTTAATTTCATTCCAAGGCAACTAAAAGTTAGGAAACTTTGAGGTGTGGTTACGGAATTTTAACGGCCGTATCTATCTACAGCACTGATGGATTTTTTTGTTATTAAAATGTCATTCAAATTGCAATTATTTACAATGCGAGCCCAACGCAATCCACGGCACACCGACTGTAATAGTGTTTATTATATTGTTATTATATTAATTGTAGCTCTAATTGTCCGCGTATACTGAAATAAGTCCATATTAGGAATACATCTACGTGAAAGACGGGCGGAGAACGAGACAATGGGATGCGTGATAAATAATAACCACATTATAATAGAAACATGCAACAATGTGGGATGTAGTAGCGCACCGTCTAACCCTGTGGTGTGTCTCCTTTTAATGGCCATCACTGGCATTTCCATTGAATGTCAATGAGCAATAACATAAATGCCATAATAATAGATCGTGTGTAATATCACGGCATGCAAACGCCCGGTCATCGTCTTCGCACGTAAGTATAATGAGCGTAAGTTGTCACAAATCATTTGTACCCATTTCTGAATCACCCGTGTAAAATAGGGCATTTGCTTGGACACACGCGTGCGAAGAACGATTCTGTGGTGACACGAACTTTAAGGGAATTCTCGCCTTAACATTTGTCGTGGGTTTTCCAAGGCGCACGATGACGATGGTGGTTGAACGGAGACGACTGCACGTGTCACGCGGCACGTGAATGGAGTACCGCAGGGTTCTGGACCCCATTCACGTGTCATCATTGAACGGCGATCACGGGTACAACCATGACAACAGCGGCGACGCGAGCATGTGAAGTTGGAGACTCTCAGAAACCACTGAAGGCTGCGCATAATAAAAAAACGCCCATTTAAAGCTCGAGTGAGCGAGTCAGCCCTGTGCCGAGCAAGGAGCATCAATGGGCGATAGGGGGGCACTGGGCCCCGGCTGATTAGCAAAGGGCGAGAGAAGCAGCGCGATGGGAAGTTGCCTCGCGTTCGAATCCAGTGTGGCCCAGTCCCCAGCGGCTTCGGCTGCGTTAGCGTCCCTATACTGACGGTCTCTCTCTCACTCTCTCTCGTCCCCCGGAGCGCCGGGGCAACGGGTCAAACGTGGCCAGTGCACTGCACGCGCGCGTGGCGGCGTGTTCCCGGAGAAGCGAGCCGTCCCCTCCATCGCCAAGCCAAGGCGCCGAGTTTTGACTTTGAGTGGAAAGCCCTTCGCGTCTCTCCCACTCGGGGAAACAGCGCGGCACCATCACACAGCCGACCCCTCTCGGCCATCCTCCTTCTCCTCCTCCACCCCCCACCCACCCACACTCCCCAACCCAGCTCCCCGCCAAAGTAAAGTGCATCGGCCGCGAAAGACCTGCATGGACGGGGCAGGCGCCGCTTGGCGAGCTCGCACTCCCAGGGCCACTTACTTTGTCCCGCGGCGGTGACGAGGGGGCCGATCCGCCCCGGCGCTGCGCTCGGTGCCGGCGCGCCGACCCCGTTGCCGTCCTCGCCCCCTCTGTCGGTCTCCCCAAGGCGCCGAGCCAGCACGGTCCCATGCAAGCCGAGTTCGCCCCCGCGGCGGCGGCCCCGCAGGCTCGGCTCGACCGAGGGAGGCAGGGAGGGAGGGAGGCTCTCTTCTTCGCGCTGCGCTCACGGCCGCTGCGTCCCCCGTCCCGCGCCCGGTCCCTCTCCGGCCGCGCGTGCGGTCGCCTCAGTCGCTCGCCCTCCCCCCACCACCACCCCCGGCTCCCACAACAACTCACCCCCTCAGCGTCCCCTCCTCCCTCGAGCTCCTTCCTGCTGCTGCTGCTCCCTCTCTCTCGCCGCGCTCGCTCGAGCCCCGGGCAGCCAGAGAGAGGGTGGTAAGGTAGCGTCTCTGCCGGCGCCTCGCCTCGGCCGCGCCGTTCCCTTTCCGGCTTCTGGTATCGCCGCCTCCTCCTCCTCCTCTCCCCTCCTTCCCTCGCCCGCCCGCTCGCCCGCCCGCTCGCTGCCGGGCTCCGTGAACGAGGCTCCCGCCCGCCCGCCCGCCCGCCCGGCCGCCCGTCCGGCCGCGCACGCACGGGGGCGGCTCTCGCGGCGCGCGGACGCCGCTGGCCGGGGCAGCGCGCGGAGCCCGGCGCGGGGGAGGCAGCGAGAGGCGCTGGGGTCTCGCTGGGGGAGTCTCTCTCTCTACTCGGCTCTACTCGCTGTGGGGATGGATGGTGGTGATGAGGAGGAGGCTGCTGCTGCTGCTGCGCCGTGCGTGCCGAGTCAAGCCGCGCTAGCGAGAGAGAGCAAAAAAAAAGTCGATGGGGCAGCGTTTAGCCGCGCTAATTATTTTATTCTTTTTTTGCCGCCTGTCCCCTCTCTTCTTGCTCGGCGTGTAAAAAAATGGCTGATTGAGTTCAGTGCGCATGCCCTCATTACCGAGGCACGCCGGGAAGGTGTAATTAGCAAGAGATCAATATTCATCAGCTCGCGCCGACCGCACCGAGCGCGACTCGTTAAGGAGGATCGCTCCGCCGCGCCCGGAACCCAGCGAGAGGCGGACTCCTTAAGACGCCCTGCCACACAGAAACACCTTCGACACCTTTAAGGGTAACCCACGTTTATTGTTGTTGTGCCATTTGACAAAAGCGAACGCCTCCCGCTGCTCTGCCGCTGCTGCTGTTGCTAAACAACAACGACGCTGCGCATTTAGCGGCGAGCTTTAAACGCGGTTCGAGGCCGCCCGCAATGATCAACGCAGCCACGAGCAGCAGCAGCAACAACAAAGACTGTAACAACAGCGGAGCTTTCCCGCGTTGTGTAGTCGAGGGGAGTATACAGATCGGCTCAGTGCGCGAGAAGTTAAAGGGCTGTTTTTGCGTGTTAATGAAAGGGAAATTGCGTTGTTGGATGCCTGCGTCCTGCTCACTGACGGTTATCGGCCGTGCTGCTTTGATTTGGTTCCCGTGCGCGGTGTTTACTCGCGGTCGCCCGCCCGCTCTAGCACCGCGTGTTCACTACCGGCTTCATCAGTTAAACATCCCCGTTACGATGGACGACGACAACAACAACAATAACCACCAACAACCACCGTGCGTTCACATTTATATCAAACGACGCGGTTCAACACGGGGCTGTGCATATTCATGGCTTGACGCCACGGTGTTAATGACCGAGACTTGTACACGTCGTCAGGCTGACATGATGATCACGGCTGGTTTCGCAATAACTAAAGAAAACATTTCTCAATTTTCAATAAAGTGCATTGGGACATAATAGTGGATGCAAGGGGGGGCGGCACGGATGTGAATCACACGGACTTCATGATGACCTCCGTGCGTCTCCACGCAGCTGGACCCTGGGAATGTATCCCGGGCCATACCTCCCACGATATATAAAATATATCGTGTGTTTTTATACTACAGCCCAGCGGGTGTTCCTGGGCCTCCTTTTTAAAACGTGAACACAATCTCGACGGTGGGTGAGGTGAAGGGGTGCTGGTGGTGGTGGCGATTAAGGGGAGGGTGTGGATGTTGCGGCGCTAAAAAGGGGGGAAAAATCCATGGCTAAACGCGTTAAAGACTGCGGAGCAGTAAATAACACGGGGAACGCCGCTATCTCAATCGGAGGAGACGCGCAAAGCGTAAATCGTTAAGTGAAATCGAAGGATTAGGGCGAGGAAATCGAAGGCGGGTTTGTTTGTGGGTGCAGCGCGCGCCGAAAGGCGGCACGCGGGGCCCCCCTCTGCGCTCACCTCCTCCTCCTGCTCCTCATCTGTCACCTCGCCCTTCCTCACCTACCACTCCTGCTTCTCTTCATGTCCCCTCATCTCTTCCCTACGCTCCACGCGCCTCCTTTGATTCTCGAACGTTGACGCGCCGCCCGTGTGTGTGTGCGCCACTGTCCGTGGTGTGGCAGTGGCTCGTCTAAGTATGGTCGTGTGTCATTACAGAGGACGCGTCTCCTCCTCATCATCATCTGCTATTGTTTCGTTTCACCTTAAAGACTCGCGTGGTTTTATGCGTGTCCACGCGTAATTATTACAGTGGCCCAGAAAGCACTCCACCGTGTGTGTGTATATATAGCGCTCACTATTTAGACGCATACACACAGGGGAGGAATGCTCCAGCTCCAACAACCCACCGCGTGCAACGCGACATTTGTCAGACAAATAAGAGGCAGCAACCATTAATTCCTCTACGGCGTGTTTATAATCACAAGTGCGTGTCAGTGAGTGCAGCCAGTGTGTGCCCATGCTGTGTACACGTGTTTTGTCAAGTGGCTCGCGTCCCCTCCTCTCAACCCCAACTGCCTCGTGTGGTGGAGCAGCAGCAGCATCATCGTCGTCGTCGTGTTTTATTAGCACGTGCTGCTGCTGCTACTGCTGCTGCCGCCTCTGTATCTGCCCTTTCCCGCACTCAATCTTCTCGCGAATAACTCCCCGTGACTCGCGTGCGACGCGTCCTCCTCCTCCTGCTCCTCTCCCCGCGCTCCGCGGGGCTCGGAGTGGCCGCCAGACGCCCGTTACTATTTACCAACCATCGCGGGAAAGGTGAGTTATTGTAGGAGGTGGAGTGAAGTGACGAGAGAGGCAGCCACGAGAGCGGAGATGAGAGAGAGGGAGAGAGGACGCGAGCGAGTGAGAGAGCGAGCGAGGAGGGAGCCGCCGCTGCTGAGTTGAGAAGCGAGGCACAGAGAGGTGGACACTCACTCGTTGACCGAGCCCGTGAGAGTGACCGTAAAAAGACGAACGGGGTCGAGACGGGCCGAAGCGGGGTCGCGCAATGGGCGCGGGCAGGCGGGCGCGCTCGCACGAGGACCGAGGCGGACAGAGACAAACGTAAGCAGAGGTCTTGGTGGTGTCGTTATACGGGCGAGAATGACATACATGCGAAATGACCGCGGCTCCTCAAGTCGCTTTGGTTGGAGAAAAAACAAGAGAAGGTTTAAAATTCCAAGGATTAACCGCCGCCATTCGCAGACGACGGAAGAGTCCGTGGGTCTTGGCCAAAGCTCTCATGAAAGTTTGGTGTTCGATCTGGATTCACGGCTGTTGTTGTTGTTGTGTGCGCGCCGTTCAAACTTTGTCAATCGCGACACACAAATGCCGCGTGGTCATCGTCGCGCGTTCGGCTCAGACCGACCGCGTTCACGCGTCAACTGGAATGACGACGCGTGAACAACTCGCGCCACGCAAACCAAGCGTGTCGACGATTTCACAACCGACGTTAATTTCCGATTGAGCGGACATTAACCGTGTAACGAGCGCGTTTGCTACCTCGAGTAACAAAAAACAAAGCAAAGCGAATATCGCGGTCATGTGAACGGACGAATCGCGCGTAATTATTCACATTTCAATATTTATCAGGCGGGCGCTCCCATTGCAATATGCATTTGTCTTCTTAAATAAGCGTTTGTTTCGGTGATGCGCCGAGGCGTTGCTGCACACTAGCGGCGCGCAGAGGAGGAGGCGCGTGTGTAGAGAGAGAGACGCCCTCTGTTGCTCGGATCGATCCATAGGTGACAGGCGGAGCGCGCCGCGCCCGTGCAAGCACGCAACCAACGTGGTGCGTTCAGAACCGTGCCGTGATTCACTCAACTACTACTGCTGCTGTTGCTACAAACTCAGATGGGCTGGCCACGCTGACGAGCCTCTCGTGTTGTCAGCAGTACGCGTCTAAAATGAAGCTCGAATTTCGGTTGGCATTTTTTTCTCGTGACAATTTGAACGCGAAGCCCGCGGTGTCTGCAGACGCGTAAGAGTGTTGTTATTCTATCACAAATCTATGGTCCACTCAGCCACGTCATGATCGCAGAGTAATGATTGCGGCCGCTCGCACTCGTTCGGTATGTTTGTATGTATGTGTGTACGTGTGCATTGAATACCAGCGCAGCAAATCACAAATAAACACGACGCGAATTTTTGTTTACAAAAAAATACGTGCGTACGGACTGATACGAGACACGGTTACCTTACCAACACAACACCGCAGTGTGCATACACATAGTCGCTTTAAGATGTTTTCTTGTTCGTGTTTTTTGTTTGTTGTGGTTGCACCCGATTCAAGAGCCGAATAGCTCACAGGGATATACCAAAATAAATAAACTGAAAACTGAAACTGTGTTAATTGCACGCCTATGTATTATCTACAAAAGCAAGATCGCGTATGTACTGTACATACACAATACTGATATTTATCAAGGCGTATGCATATTGAATGGTATTCTTAAAATCAGCCAGAATACCGCTTTGTGTGCATATACACATGGCACATCGCCTACACGTGTGTATATGTATATATATTCATTCATACAAACGTGGTTCTGGGGGAAATTGTCAAATGTTGTTATATAGCACGGTCGGCTACGTACGGCGCGAAATAAGTTCAACATACACACAGACCACGTTACGAAGTAGCTGTACCCGACTAAGAATAGTCAGTCTTACGATATAATAAAAAAACCCCGCTAAGGTGAATGTTACGCGTCGCTTTTCTTTTAACACACCGCAATGAGCGTCACAGAAACACAAAGCTCACTTCGAATGGCTAAGACAACAACACACAAAGCAGACGAGACACGCATTGTGTGGACACTCGCCAGATGCGATAGTCGCGGAGCGCACTGCGAGTATACACCGATGCGCGCGCTCATATTATCGATGTGCGATCGTTGCTTTGCTTTGGGTGACACGCAACAAGCATCCCCGCGTGTCGATCCGTCTCGTGTACACGACTCGCCCGGAGTTCCACGTGCGGCGCCGATCCGTGCGCATCACCTGTCCGTGCGCATCACCTGTCCGTGCGCATCACCTGTCCGTGTGACGACCGCACACACCGTCCGTGCACACGCTCGTACACGCCGCGGCTTCTCTCTTTTTACTTTGTTTTATCTGCCGCGTCCCTCTCCGAGCTCTCTCTCTCTCTCTCATGTGTGCGAATTCACCGAGTTCGACTCCTGCCAAGGTTAACCTTGAGAATCCCCCCTCCCGATAGATCAGGATCCAAATGCAAGCCTACGACCACCTCCACCTTGCTCTCTGTACGCAGCCCCACGCTGACCCCGTACAAGTCCATCACCAAGTGTTGTCTGCCAATGCCACAGATAATCGCCGCGCTTGTAAAACGAAGCTAACATACACACGACATCCGTCTACCGTGCGAGCGACTCGAGCGATAGCCGTCCTCCCCAAGACGAAGGATGAGAACCTTGCCATGGGACGAGTTGCGAGAGAGAGAAGATCGCGCGTGCTGCGTAACTCACCGCGAGTGAGTTGGCGGTGGTGGTGAGTGGGGTGAGCGAGCGAGGAGAGTTCCTGCGGTGCCCCGGTACTCGCTCGTGGCTCCGGGGGTTATTCCGCGGCGGTGGTGGTGGCGGCGGTGGTGGTGGTGGCGGTGCACGCGGCTCGCTTAGCGGCCGCCGTACGGAGCGCCGCGGTGACGACGTGGGGTTATAATCATCAAACCAACGCGTATTATAGCTGCCTTGCCTTTAATTCGACACAAAATATATACGTCATTAATATCAACCCACTCAAACCCCATTACACGGAGCCATGCCACCTCCTGTTTGGGCTAATTTGGCAAACTAGAGGGACACTATATATATCGTTTAACACGCGGTACGACGAGCGGTTAGCACGTGCGCCTTTGCGTGTGTGCGTGCGCGTGTACTTCTGTGTTCAGTGATCATTGTATTCGAGTGATTTATTTATTCAAAGAATCCATTTCATTTGCGAAACGTTCTCCGTGTGCGAGCTTTGTCGTCACGCTTTTAAAATCGATCCCTTTACGTTTTCTCAGATTTCTAAAAGTGCTCGCATACGCGTCCGCACACGTGCACACACGCGCACTCATACACACGCGTGCGTACACACGTGCATTCTCGTGCGCACACACGCGTGCGCATACACACCCACACACGCGCACTCATACACGCACGTGTGAGTACACACACATGCACACACGTACGTATGAATACACGCACACACACGTTCATACACACACCTACTCGCGTGCTTACAGACACACGTGTAAGTATACACAAATGCGTGTGCATACACACGGGTGCGTACATACACACACGCGTTTATACACACACGCGTTCATGCACACACGCGTTCATGCACACACGCGTTCATGCACACACACAAAGATCCCCCGTGTAGCCTTAACAGACTATAGGGGCAAGTGCTGTTAGCGAGCACCTATAAAGGCCGGCACGGCACACGAGGGGGTGGGTGACCAACACCACGCCCGGCCGCCTTTATCTCCCCAGTGGTGATGTTAACACAACGCACCAGGTATTCATTTGAGGCTTAGTCGACCTAGGCGAGGCCCAGGACCGGTTCAGATAATCGTCACCGGTGATGACCGTGAGCGGGTCCGTAGCGTAGCTCGATTACCGCTACACTACCGCTCCACCACACACACGCGTGCGTATGTACACACGTGCGTGCGTACGTACACACGTGCGTTCATACGCACAGACGTACGTTGATATACACACACACGTGCGTTCACGTCAGTCCGCATACACAGAACGTGCACTTGCAGGGTTGTATGACCGCCGTCTTTATTATCCCTGACATGGACAACACTTACTCCTTATCATTACCGAAGATACAGATTGTTTTGCATCATCATAACTGAGTGGGCGCTCTGGCAGGCTAGTACCTTTACCACCAGGTAAGCGCATGACACAATAGCCGTTGTTGTTATCGTTGTTGTTTGTTTGTGTTTTTCGCACTTTGCTCGCGGGTAATTGGAACACTCGCAGCGATGGGGCATGGATGGCGCAGCGCACACTCTGAACTCTGGGAGTCACGACTCCTCCTCCACGCGATCACCGTCCGCTCCACCACCACCACTCACGCCGCGTGAATCGGGCCAGTGGCCGGATTAAAATCCCTGGAAACCTCGCAAACTGTCTCAGAGGCAAGCGCGTCTAGTAACAATATTAAACCATACTCTTTGGTTCTTTCGGTAAAGTCAATATTAAAACATCACCACTACCGACCACCACGGGGTCATCATCGTCATTACCGTCATCGTCACCATCATTGTCACCGCCGTTATCATCCCCGCTGTCAAACTGCACGTGGATTCATCGCGGACAGAGCGAGGCGCGATGTTTGTTACCCTAAGAGACAGACAGCAAGACTGGTAAAGGCGGACACGCTTCCGACACAAGTAACCAAAGAGAAAGATCCCCCGTATAGCCTTAGCAAACTGTTGGGGCAAGTGCTGTTAGCGAGCACCAATGAAGGCCGGCACGGCACACGAGCGGGTGAGTGGCCAGCACCACGCCCGGCCGCCTTTATCTCCCCAGTGGCGATGTTTTACACACTGCACCAGGTACTCATTTGAGGCCGAGTAGACCTAGGGGAGGCCCAGGACCGGTTCACATAATCGTCACCGGTGATGGCCGTGAGCGGGAATCGAACCCGGGTCGCCAGGTTTGTAGCGCAGCGCTCACCGCTACACCACCGCTCCCCATAAGTAACCACGCACACCAGGGCACGACAATGCCCCCTCTCCCCCCGTGTTGTACACGAGAGGAGCAGCAGCGGCAAGGCCGCCCTGGACATGTTCGACTCACTTCTTCGTGGCTTTGCGCGATGTAGACTGTATATATAGATATAAAAATACACACACCGACAATCCCAGCCCACCTCCCCACAACGTGAAAGGCACACACGGGGGGGGGGCATATGCAGGATGTGTTGACGCGTGCTTTGACAGCGGCACCGCTAACTTTTTTTTTTAACACGCACGAAGAATGTCTTTAAGAATGGAAAGCACCGCCACCACCATCACCGTCACCACCATCACCGTCACC